CTTCCAAGTCAGGGCCAACCAGAGAGAGCCAAATATACTCCCTAAGCCAGTCACACAGGATGCCCTATTTCTAGTTAGCTCCTCTCCAACTTCCCCACGCCAGCAGCCTTTAATCAGAGCATACCCAAAGCCTCCTCCGTGTTCCCTCTAAAGCTTTAACACTCCTCTGCCTTTGAATCTCTGCCAGATGCAAGCGATGATGGCTGACTCACAATAGCAAGCTCTAAATAAATAGCCTGGTGTGTCTTCACTTGGGTAATCTTCATTTCCACAATTTATCCCTTCACTGGGAGAGGACCAGAAGAGGAAAGTAGAAAAGCATGTGTTTAGTTCTGGATACTTAGATTAGAGGATGCCTTTGAGATGCTTTGAGCTCAAAGGAGGTGCCAGGTGCAGGGCTATCTTATGACTTGCATGTCCCCTAGGCATTTTGCCTTTCTGGGTTCTTCCTTAAAATAATATGAAAAATTACATTTTATGACTGTGTTGGTATAAAGATGGACATATTAATATTATATATTAAAAATATTTTTTACTAGAAGTTTCTCTTTCCCTTCTCATTTAAAACTACATTTTTGTGAGCTCCTAAAAATACTATGAGCTATAGGCATTGGGCTTACTGTGCCTATCTGAGGAGGTCCTGGCCCGTGGCCTCCCTTGGCAGCAGAGACATACCACAGGCAGTAAGGAGAGGGAGCCTGAAGATACATGTTCTTTCATAATTTGTGTTGGTTTTTCTTTTCCATCTGGGAGGGGCTGCCAGATGGGAAACTTCCCCACCCATAGCAGCATGCATCTGCCTGCCGGCTCTCTGTTGCCAAGGTGTGGTCAGCTAGAACTTCCAGGATGTTGAGCACCCTGAGCCGGATTGCAAGACAGGGCAGGCATAAGACTGGGGACAGAAAAAGGTGGCTGTGTGCAGTAAGGGAGCAGAAGGAAGGAGTTTGTTTTCAGTGTGAAGCGGTGGGCAAAGTCACCCCAGGCTAGGGACACAATGGTGGCTGTCAGGCAGCCACTCTGTGGAAAACGGCTGTGGCTCAGGCAGGTGGACATTAAAGGAAAGCAGTAACAGACCCCAGGTAACACACCTCTTTTTGTTTAACAATTTAAGCAGGTGGGAGTGCCTCGGGGTTTAGAGAGTTTGAAAGCACCACATTCCTGGCTTCAGCAAGCTTAAAGCGTAGCCTAGCTCAGGAAGCCATTTGAGTTCCAAGATCATCACCACATGGTTGATGACTGGTGGAGAAAGAGTAAGTGACTTTATTGTATGATTTCAAATATACAGGGAGGAAGTGTAGACTTGTGACTGGATGTGTACTTTCTGGAAGAAGAATGCAGGATTTCAACCCTGGACACACCACTCACTAGCTCTGTGTCTTCAGATAAATTAACTAACCTTTCTGGGCCTCAATTTCCTCACTTGTAAAATGGCGGTAAGAATAGTCCTGTCAAGGACGCCTGGGTGGCTCAGTCGGTTGAGCGTCTGCCTTCGGCTCAGGTCATGATCCCAGGGTCCTGGGATCGAGTCCCGCATCGGGCTCCCTGCTCCGCGGGGAGCCTGCTTCTCCCTCTGCCTCTGCCTCTCTCTCTCTCTCATGAATAAATAAATAAAATCTTAAAAAAAAAAAAAAAAAAAAAGAATAGTCCTGTCAAATGTTTTCCCGCAAAGCACCACCAAAGAGCTTGTGAATGAGGCAAAGTTGAGTTTATAGCTTACTAAGATAAGGGAGATCACTACCTTCATCGAATGTTAGCCACATCTGGTAAGGAAAGGGCAGTGGCGAGGTATTTATGAGTTTGGGAGCAGTTAGGACTGGGCAACAGATTGATAGAGACAGCAAGGCAAGAGTTTCTGAAGGAGCCCCGCATCGGGCTCCTGCTTCTCCCTCTCCCACTCCCCCGCTTATGTTGCCTCTCTCGCTGTGTCTGTCAAATAAATAAAATCTTTAAAAAAAAAAAATCACTTCCTCAAATCTCAAGTTTGTCACTTCTTTCCATCTCTACTACGGTACCACCAAACTATTTTCATCTTTCATCCGATCTACTAAATAGCCCCCTAACCTGGTCTACCTACTTCTACGGTCTCCTCCCCAATTTTTTTGTCCAAGGAGATTTTTTCAAAAAGCAACCCTGATTACATTATCCCTGTGCTTACATTACTTCAACAACTCTCACAGGTTTTAGGATAAAAACTAAAGTCTTCAGGATGCCTGGGTGGCTCAGTCGGTTAAGCGGCTGCCTTCGGCTCAGGTCATGATCCCAGGGTCCTGGGATTGAGCCCCATATTGGGCTCCCTGCTCAGTGGGGAGCCTGCTTCTCCCTCTCCCTCTGCCGCTCCCCCTGCTTGTGCTCTCACGCTCTCTCTCTGTCAAATAAATAAATAAAACCTTTAAAAAAACAAAAACAAAAAAACTAAAGTCTTCAACATGGCCTCCAGGGCCCTGCATGTTCTGGCTCCCATCCTTCTGCTCCTCTTGCTTAGTGTAACCCCATTTTACCTCTGTTTGAGTGAAACTGGCTTTCTTTCAGTCCCCAATACATCTGCCCACCTGCCACAGGGGATTTACTAGATGGCTGTGGGCAGCTTCTGAGTCAAAGGAATAGGTGAAGGGTCAGAGTAGCTCCAGGGACACAGAGGGTAGAAGCAAAAGGAAGTCTCATCAGGGCACCACTACTGGGAAATATCAGCTCCGACTATACCCCCCACCCCTTGCATCACTCTACATAAGATCCAAAGCCCAGGGGCACCTGGCTGGCTCAGTCGGTTAAGTGTCTGCCTTTGGCTCAGGTCATGATCTCAGGGTCCTGGAATTGAGCCCTGCTTTGGGCTCCCTGCTCAGTGGGGAGTCTGCTCCTCCTTCTCCTTCTGCCCCTTTCCCCCTGCTTGTGCGCTCTCTCTCTCTCAAATAAATATATTTTTTAAAAAGTACCAGTAGGGCGCCTGGGTGGCTCAGTCGTTAAGCGTCTGCCTTCGGCTCAGGTCATGATCCCAGGATCCTGGGATCGAGTCCCACATCGGGCTCCCTGCTTCTCCCTCCCCCACTCCCCCCTGCTTATGTTCCCTCTCTCGCTGTGTCTCTCTCTGTCAAATAAATAAATAAAATATTAAAAAAAAAAAAAGTACCAGTAAAGCTTTAAACAATGAAGACAAAGTAATTCTCCAAAAGAAAATTGGGAGTTCTTACCAGGAGGAGGACAAATGGATGCAGGATGGCCCCCAAATCAACAAATGTCCACAAAACACATGTTCTCACTACCTGGACTGACTTCCCATCCCCTATTTGGTTAGTTAACCTTACTCAATGTTTAGATTCCAGCCCAATTGTCCCTTCATTAAAGAAGTCTTCCTTTGCCCTCCCAAGGGAGTCAGAGTTCTCTATTCTGTTATTTTGTAGCATTATAACCTCTCTGCCATGGCACTTTGCCACTGCTGTAATGTTACATTTATGAATATTTGAATTACATCCATCTCTCCCAATTGGCTAAATAGTCCATGAAAGCAGAGCCCACATCTGTTGGGGTTAGTGTGATTATCTCCAATGCCTGGCACAGTGCCTGGCAAAGCAAAGACACTCAACAAACATTCATTCAATGTATCAATCAAGCCATAAAGATATTTATTTTCCCTTGGTTATGAACTATGCCACCCCCCCAGAAGACCAAAGGAACTAAATTTGTAAACAATTTTTTTTCCAATTCATACTTTTTTACATAATTTTTTTAAAAAAAGATTTATTTATTTTAGAGAGAGAGAGGGAGTGCAAGTAAGGGGAAGGGCAAAGGGAGGGAAAGCAGCAGACTCCCCACTGAGCACAGAGCTGGATGAGGGGCTTGATCTCACAACCCTGAGATCATGACCTGAGCCGAAATCACAAGTCGGATACTTAACTGACTGAGCCACTCAGGCGCCCCCATAATTTTCTTATTTAATCTTTATAATAATGCAGCAGAACCCATTTTACACATAAAGAAACAGGCACGGGGTGGGGGGTAGGAAATTTGTTCAAAATCACATACCTGGCATAAATGATCCATGGGGGAGACTAAGCCAGGTCTGCCTGATTCCAAAATGCAAGTTCAAAACTACTATATAATACTGCCTCTCCATAACACTAGTTATTTCCTTAACACAAAGCAATGGAGATGAACTCATCCATCTGTAAAATTGGTTTTCAGATAAGTTCATTTTCATGTAAATCTAGATATGTCATAAAACTTAGTTTCATTTGTAAAATACTGATCCATGGAGAGAATAAAACAAATTTTTTTTTACTTTTTAATTGTTATGTTAATCACCATACATTATATCATTAGTTTTTGATGTAGTGTTCCACGATTCATTGTTTGTGCATAACACCCAGTGCTCCATGCAGAACGTGCCCTCTTTAATACCCATCACCAGGCTAACCCATCCTCCCACCCCCCTCCCCTCTAGAACTGAGGGTAGACCCTCAGTTTGTTTTTCAGAGTCCATCATCTCTCATGGTTCATCTCCCCCTCTGATTTCTCCCCCTTCATTCTCCCCTTCCTGCTATCTTCTTTTTTTTTTCTTAACATATATTGCATTATTTGTTTCAGAGGTACAGATCTGTGATTCAACAGTCTTGCACAATTCACAGTGCTCACCATAGCACATACCCTCCCCAATGTCTATCACCCAGCCACCCCATCCCTCCCACCCCCCACCACTCCAGCAACCCTCAGTTTGTTTCCTGAGATTAAGAATTCCTCATATCAGTGAGGTCATATGATACATGTCTTTCTCTGATTGACTTACTTTGCTCAGCATAACACCCTCCAGTTCCATCCACGTCATTGCAAATGGCAAGATCTCATTCCTTTTGATGGCTGCATAATATTCCTGTGTGTGTGTGTGTGTGTGTGTGTGTGTGTGTGTGTGTGTACACCACATCTTCTTTATCCATTCATCTGTCGATGGACATCTTGGCTCTTTCCACAGTTTGGCTATTGTGGACATTGCTGCTATAAACATTGGGGTGCACGTACCCCTTCAGATCCCTACATTTGTATCTTTGGGGTAAATAGAAAACAATTAAATAAAAAAAAAAAAACTCTGGGCAGGTGTAATTTGACAGAGAATTATAATGCTTACCAAATACCTTGCTTTCTCTGTCATTCCTGATAAATGACGCAGCCTGAGTGAAGGAACAGAGATTGGGGCAGGGGTGATTATTTAAGGTAACCTGTTCCCTAAACTTCATCTACAGATTATGAAACGCATTTCAAGTTATCCCAAAAGGTTTCGCCATTTCAGTGTTACTTCTCCATTAAGGAGGGGAGGTTGGAAAAGCAACACAAAGAATTATTTCAATTCCCAGGACTTATTAGAGCAGGGAATGAGCAGAGTCTGGGGAATATGGATTTCTCCAGGAAAAGAAAAACAAACCCAGCAAACATAAGGAAGTGTTTCTTCAGGTCAGTCAGAGCAATGAGATGGCCAAGATACTTGTGAGGAGATATAGTAAGGATAAGGCAGGCTCTCTGTTTCTCTTTTATTGCGTGCTCGAGTCTCCAAATCTGCTAAAGACATGACTACAGGTAACAGCAGGAATTGCTATTCGATGGTCACAGTGGTATTCCCTGGAGGTCTCTATGGTTTTCGGGGGGATGTGGGAATATAAGGTGATGGGACCAGAGTAGGGAACTAAGTCACCTAATATGTTTTCTAGACACATAACTAGAGTCTGACTGACGTGGCTTTCTGTATTTAACGCACAAGAGGTTCTGCCAACTCGTGGATCCTTGGAGAACACTGTGTTTTCAAAGCAGCTGGCTTGACTTTAAAGACATCTGGATCATAATATATAATGTGCACGGGAGACCTGAAATGGGGGAAAAAGAATGTGACCTGAAAAAAAATGAACAGAAAATGGAACTAACATTTCTCGACCATCCACTATGTGTGTTAGGCTCTATGATATTATTCTGTTTTGATTTTTCATAAGTGCCCCATGAAACAGGTGTCATGACCCCCATTGTATAGAGAAGGACATGAAGGCTCAGGGAAGTTATAAAAATGACCTGTGGTCAAATCCAGATTCATGTATCTATCAGATTCCAAAGCCTTGGCTCTTTCCACAGAAAGTTAATTCTGGAAAGTTTTCAATAATTGGGCAATGTTAAAACAAGCCCAGTAGTCCTCTGGTGGACTTAAATAAAATTTTTGAAGTTCCCACACTTAGCACCTTACCGCCAAATAATAACTTTGCCACTGGGGTAGACCCTGAGTACTTGATCTTATTTTTCCCTTTCCTTTGTCAATGAACAAAGAATGAGCTTCGTTTCATTGCTGTTGAACTTTCTTTCTTTCTTTTTTTTTTTTTTTACTTTATTTCTTTTAAAGGCAAAACACATTATAAAAATTTAAAAATATTATTTAAGAATGAACATATTCCCTGTTCCCTGAGCTGAAGACTTCTGTGACTTTTTCAGCTTCTCCTAGGTTTTCCTGATGATGCTTAAAAGGGGAATCAGGCATTATCTCATGAAGGAAACAATATGAACTGAGGTTCAGGCAAGTTAAGAAATCTTCTAAAAAGTAAACAGGAATTAGAGTCCATTTCTTCTTTGTTGAATGTATTATTTATTTCAAGTAGGTCATACATGTACATGATGCAAAAACATGAAAAAACACAAAAGCCCTATTTAATAAAAAATAAATCTTCCTCCCATCCAAGTTCCCTCGGGCCCCCCAAAAGTAAGCATTGTTACTAGCTTCTTGCATACTCTTCTGAGATTATAGGCACCTGCAAGCAAATATATGGCACGTACCCATTTTCTTAGAGTATTCTTAGCATTGTGTGCTCTGTTATGTACTTGTTTCACTTAACAATATGTTAGATAAATAATCCCATATCCACCCTTACAGAGTTGTTTCCTATATCTAAGTTTCACTAGTCCACTAACCCTTTAACTGCTGCCTTCTATTTATGGTAAGACCATAGATTTGTCACAATTAATGTAACAAGTGAGATGTTTTTGAAAATTTCTTGTATTTCTACGATTACTTTCATTGGTCTTATTAGGTTAATTTTTCCCTCTCCCTAGCACCCCCAGCTTTCCTGTCCCATCTTAGCAATAAATTGACATACCTTGTATTTGGATTAGCTAGTTCTTGAATTCTGGGAGATATTTTGCAATGGATAGCAGCATAAGATACTGGCCAGTGGGCATCACGGTCAGGTAGATAATCTTGATGAAGAGGCCTGGCCTTAGCTAGAGCTATTATTCGAGGGCTAGGTTTGTATAGCAAGGCAGCACGGGATATCTATAGTGGATCAAAAAGATACAAAAATATATCCCAATTTTCACATCTCCCTCTCTTTACAGTGATGGCCCTAATTGAATAACCATCCAGGATTCTCTCCTGGATTACTGCAGCAGATTCCTCACTAGTCTCCCTGCTTCCATTTTTGCTCTGTACGATCTAGCCTTCACATACCAGTTACTGAGGAAGAGAATGAGCATTTAATGAGTGCATTCCATGAGCCAGACAGTGTTCTAAGTAGGGCACCTACATTATTCCCATTTAATCATCATAATGACCCTATGAGGTATGTACTTTCTGAAGCCCAAGTCAGATTATGTCCCTCTCAGGCTTTAAAACCTTCTAGTGGTTTCCCATTTTGCTATGAATAATATTTAGACCCCCTACTGTGGCCTAGAAGGCCCTACATGATCTGATTGCTATCCCATTGCTCTGACCTCATCTGCCTCCCCTCCCCACCTTGATCACGATGATCCTTGCCACACAAAGCCCCTCTGATCCAGCTCTTTCCACCTTGGGACTTTTGCACCTGCTAGTTCCTCTGCTTGAAAGCTTCTTTCCTCAACTTTGTCATGGCTGCCTCTTCATCATTCAAGTCTCTAGAGTCAAACATCACGTTCTCAAGGACATCTTCCTTCACCATCCAAGATACATCAACCTTTCTGATAACCCTCCTCTACAGTACACTTATTCAATCTTCTTTATAGCATTTACCAACACCTCATTTTGCTCACTTATCTCTTTGTCGGTATGTTTATTGTCTGCTTCTCCCCACTAGAACATAAACTTCTTGAAAGAAATACATGTTTGCCAAAAGCTAGAGTAAGTGCATAACTGGTGCAGAATATATATTGATTGATCAACTGCTTCTGGTCTTTGAAAATCACACCTGCCAGGTTGCTTTTCTATTATGTTGCTTTATTGGTAAAATTGGAAGGATGACATACAGCTCCTATTCTCTCTCTCTTAAATGCTCACTCAAAAGAATCACGATGGATAACAAACACCCCTCTGTAGCCCTGAAAGTACTATTTTGCACTGGTATGGACTTGTTTGGGGTTCTAAGAGTATGATTATCTGCAGTGGTATCACTTTTTAAAAAGATCTTTTATAAACTCCCAAACAAACCTAGCAACTAAAGAAAAATAACTGTAACCCCCATTTTATATACCAAAAAACTGAAAATAAAGTGATCTGTCCAAGGGTCACAAGGCAAGTCACTTTAGCAAACTTAAGATGCTTTCTTGAGGGGTTTTGAATCCCAGGCTAGTTTTATTTCCTAACTGAATTCCATATCATATCCTCAGTTCTTAGAGGGTAAAATTTATCCAACCTCTTTGGCAACATGATCATTAGATATTTACTGAAAACTCAATTGTATTGGGCACCAAGTTGTCACTACAATGAATAGAGTGGAGTTTCAAGGAGGAAGAGGGAGAGAAGCCACTGAATGTGCGAGGCTCTATGCTGAGTACCAATGCCTTCTCTATTATTTCAAATCACAACAGACCTCCCAGTGGGAACTGTTAACTTTATAATCTCTTTGCTCACCTTGTTCCACCCAACTTCAAGGTCATCCCCACTTTAATACTCTGGCACATGTTCTTCCCCTTACTAGAATATTCTTTTCTCAGACCTTCACCTAGCTGACTCCTTTTTTTTTTTTTTAAGATTTTATTTATTTATTTGAGACAGAGAGAATGAGAGAGAGAGCACATGAGAGGGGGGAGGGTCAGAGGAAGAAGCAGGCTCCCTGCCAAGTAGGGAGCCCAATGTGGGACTCGATCCAGGGACTCCAGGATCATGACCTGAGCCGAAGGCAGGCGCTTAACCAGCTGAGCCACCCAGGCGCCCTAGCTGACTCCTTGTCACTCAGGTTTCACACCAGATATCCCATCCTTAGAGAGCCTTTCCCTGACTACCATATACAAAGTAGCTTATTCCCCACCCTCACCCATAGTCAGTCATTTCCTATTTTATTTTCTTCATCGCCTTCGGCCCTTATTTTTTGTCTCTCTCCATCTTGTTCACTGGGAATGGTGGCTGGCACACAGTAGGCATTCAAATACTTGAATGAATAAATAAGGCTCAGGAACACTGTCACAACATCACAGAGCTAGTGGTGAGGCTGGAATTTGAACCCAGCTCTTACTGATTCCAAAGCCCATGCTCTTTGCCCTCTATCCCCAGTCTCTCTACATATCTTGCAGCTAGGTCTTCCTTCATGCCACAGACCACTCTTTCAAGATTATCTTTCCCAATGACCTTGGCCTACGCACTATAGTAGCAAAACAGCACCCCAGGAACAACCAAAAAGTGAGGTGAAGGATGCCAAGGCAGTGGTGGCTTACAGGACGGATGGGCAGTTCACTTCGTTCTCTTTCAAAGCACAGACCCTCTATCTTGATCCTTGGATGGGCAAGGTCTACAGTTCTTGGAGTGGCAACAGCAGTCAGGGCAGGAACTGAAATCTCGGTTTCAATCTAGGGGAGAAAAACAAAATAGGGTCTGTAAGTGTCAAATAATAAATACCATCTCCATCAAGGTTACAAAGAACTGTCTGACCTCTGGACCAGAATTCTCAGCAAATCCAGCAGAAAGGATGAGAGTCTTGCAGTAACCCATGATCATAGCTGAAAGGATCAATTTCAGTCTTTCTAAAATTAGGTTGTATGAAATCCAACCCAGCTTTTCAGGAACTTACTGTTAAACTAAAGATGGGGAGGAAATGGCAACATTACATATTGACTAAGAGATAAATGGTAATGCTGATTTGTGGAATGAAAAACTCAGCCAAGAGGGAAGGCTCAGGCCTACTACATGAGAACACAGTCTAAGGGGGGGGAGCTCTGCTTTATTCTTAACTGCTCTTGCCCTTTGGAAACTGGGACTCACGTTATCACAAATCCCCATACTTAAAGTGAATTCAAGTGGTTTTCTTCTAACTGGGACAGGTAAGAAAAAGAAACCAAAGCCAAGAGGAAGAAAGGCAGAATCACATTCTCCATAGACAATGCTGTTAGTCCCCCAAGTCATTTCTCACTATCTGAATTGTGGAAATGTGTTCAATTTACATGGTCTTCTATTTCAATTACTAGTATTCAAACTCAAAACTTACCACAAGACTTTGAGAGGGAATATAATCGATAACTGGAAATAAAATAAGGTTTTAACTGTGGGCAGAAAAATAATATAGAAGGTATGTTGCAAATCCCTTTTTGTGTTAAGACAATGATGATACTGACAGTGTTTTACATGTACTAATTCATTTATTCCTCACCTAGGGTATCATTTTTATTTGCATTTCACTCATGGAGAAACTAAGGTACTATATGAAGTTCAGAAATTTACTTAAGTTTTTATAGTGAATAGGTTGCACAGCTGGGATTCAAACCTAAGATCCTCTCTGTTTGCACAATTCCATGATAAGAGAATCTTTCTTGGATTTTCCCACTCTTCTTCTGATATCTCTCAATACTTTATTTATTCTCTTTTATGAGTATCAAATAATCTTAATTATTTACCTATAGGTCTATGGTTTCTTCTAAATTGAAATTTACTTTTAAGGAACGGTTTTATTATTCTTGTTGTATCCTGTATTATATAATTGATTAAGAAATACTTGTTTAATGAATTGAGTAAATGAACGATTTATTTCCTTTTTTGATTATAAGCCTTAATTGAAAAGAGCGGTTGTCTTATATTTCTTTGATTTTCCCAGAGTCTGATAGGAGACAAAGCTTTATTTATTGGAAATGATTAATTAGTACTTCATGGAATTGTACAGACACTAAGCGCAGATTGCTTCAATAGTAAATTCTATCAAATATTTAAGAGGAAGAAATAATATAAATCTTATATAAACCTACAAAGAATAATAAATACAACTAATCTATGGTGATAGGAATCTGGAAGTGGTTGACTCTAGGGCAGGGGTAGAGTGGAATTGACTAGAAACAGGAGGAAAATTTTGGGGATAATGTTTTGTATATTGATTGAGGTGGTTATTGAATGGATATATACATTTGTTAAAAGCTCATTAAACTATACACTTAAGATCTATGCATTTTATATAAATTATAACTCCAGAATTTGAAAATATAAGCTGGGAAAAATAGATAGACATATGATGAAGAATACCTCTAATATGTAAAGAACTGTTATGAATCAATAAAAAATATACAGACCAGTAAAAAATAAATAAAGCCATGAATAGACAAGTTTACAAAAGAAAACTACACAGGTAAATAAATGTTGGGAACTATTAAATTTATTAGTAATCAGAAAAATGAAAGCATTTTTATTAATGAGATAGCATTTTTAAAATTAACATTTTGTAAAATAAATAATATCTAATGTTGGTAAGAGTGCAGTGTAAAAGTCAGCCCAAATAATGCAAGTGAATATGTAAATCAAAATCACTTTTGTTGGAACACATTTTGGGATAATATATGAATCACCTCAAAAATGTTCATACACTTAATCTGGTAACTTTACTTCTCAAATTTTTGTTCTCAGAAAATAATCAGATTGAGAATGATTGGGGAGGAACATGTTGGTAAAATGACCTTATAAATTAGGACAGTAAGTTAGATAAAGCCATGTGAGATATGCAGAGTACAGGTGGTCAATACTCAAAGGTATCTGCTAAATATAAAATAGGAGTCTTCAAAGTCAAAATCTCTTGAGTCAACAATTTAAAAAATCTACACAGGTTGATTAGTCTGAATAGGAGCTTCGGACATCTATAAGCAGAGAGAATGATGGATATGAACTAAGTGAGTTATGAAACCAATGCTTTTTAAGTTTTGTAGTCTCTGACAAAGTTACCATAAAAAGAGACTCAGTATGACATTCACAGAGGTAAAACACCTTCTACAGGGGAGCCTGGGTAGCTCAGTCAGTTAAGCGTCTGCCTTCGGCTCAGGTCATGATCCTGGGGTCCTGGGATCAAGCCCCACGTCGGGCTCCCTGCTCAGCCGGGAGCCTGCTTCTCCCTCCCTCTTCCTCATGCTCTCTCTCTCTCTCTGTCTCTCAAGTAAATAAATAAAATTAAAAAAAAAAAAAGACCTCTACAGTTCATCCAAAGTCTCTGGTGACAAGTAACCTAAGGTACCTGTAACAGTAACTTGGCTTCCTTTGTGGGAATGTGTATTTTAAAACTGGGAAGATTCAGCATTAACTGTAAAAAAGTTAAGAGAATCAAAATCATAGAATTAATACTTTGTGTTAAGAATAAGTATGTGCAATGGAGCACCTGGGTGGCTCAGTTGGTCAAGCGTCTGACTCTTGATTTTGGCTCAGGTCATGAGCTTGGGCTTGTGAGATGGAGCTCTGTGTCGAGCTCTGCATTCTGTGGGAAATCTGCTTGAGATTTTAACTCTCTCCCTCTCCCTCTGCCCCTTCCCCCTGCTCTCTCTCTCCCCCCCTCAAATAAATAAATAAATCTTTAAAAAAAAAAGAATAAGTAGTGCAACAATTGATGAAATTTGGACATGGACCATGGAGTATTTATCAATTAAAATTCCTGATTTTGATAATAATTCTGTGGTTACATAAGATGATGATCTTGTTCTTAAGAAATACACACTGAAGTATTTAGGAAAATGGGTGTATGATGTCTGTACCTCTCAAAAATGATTCAGGAAAAAAATTAAATACACACACACACACACACACACACACACACACACCCTACATGGAGGAGAGAGAATGAAAAAACAAATGGAACAAAATGTTACTTCTTGCATTTTTTTGAGTAACTTAGAAATTATTAAAATAAAAAATATGTGTATATTATTAAAGTTAAAAGCATGTGCATGAGGGCTCCTGGCCAGCTCAGTCAGTGGAGCATGTGACTCTTGATCTTGGGGTCATGAGTCTGAGCCCCACATTGGGTGTAGAGTTTACTAAAAACAAAACAAAACAGGGGCACCTGGGTGGCTCAGATGGTTAAGCGTCTGCCTTCGGCTCAGGTCATGATCCCAGGGTCCTGGGATCGAGCCCCGCATCGGGCTCCCTGCTCAGCAGGGGGCCTGCTTCTCCCCCTGCTCATATTCTCTATCTCTGTGTCTCGAATGAATAAATAAAAAAAAACTTTAAAACAAAACAAAATAAAAGCATGTCCATGTTTAAGAGAATTTGGTCTATTAGAGTGATCACCCTACAACTGCAACTTAAAATGTATAATTGAGTATTTGACTTAGAATTATAACATTAAGTTGAAATCTTAAGTTTATGTCATTCTGATAACATTGAAACTTTAAGTTCACCATATTTATAAATTTGATATATTTGATTTTTAAATAGTATTTAATATTTGAAATTTTGTTTGTTAATGTAGATGGTTGAAGTAAAATGCTTAAAAAAGAAATCAAATTAAAATATTAACAAAAATAATTTAAATTATTTGAAGGTATTTGATAACATTTAGAAACCAAATCAAACATTATTCAGAACTCTTCAAAGTCATTGTTAAAGACTGCTAGAATTATAAACAGTGTAATAAAACTTGCAAGCTAAACGTAAAAGCCTAAGAAAGAGATTTTTAATTTAAAGTTTTAAAAATGGACTATTAATTATTTAAATCAAGAGCATACCTCTGAACAGTCTTTTCTGTATACAAAACCATGCTCAAGGATACCAAGGTTTTTTTCTTGAGTGGCTATAAATTCTTTGCCACTTCTCATTGACAGGTGGGGTTTGTGTCCCTGCCCCCTTGAATCCGGTGACTTGGAACTGTATCAATCAACAGAGTATGACTGCAGAGTATGACTGTGACATTATGTGACTTCCAAGGCCAAATCATAAAAAAACATGCAGCTGGACATGGTTGTTTTGGAATGCTCACCCTTGAAACACTCCATTTTAGAATATTCCTTCTCAGAATATAGTCGCTATGCAGAGAAAAGTCTCAGGCCCCATGAAAGTGCTCCTGTGAATATTCCCAACTGAGTCTAGCCTTTAAGTCACATCAGCCTGGGCACCACATACATCTGTTGCTATGGACAGACTGTTTATGTCCCCCTCAAATTCATACGTTGAAGTCCTAATCCTCAATGTGATAATAGTAGGAGGTGAGGCCTTTGGGAGGTAATTAGGTTTAGATGAGGTCATGAGGGTAGGACCCTCATAGTGGGATTGGTGTCCTTATGAGAGATAAGAACTCTTTCTCTGTGCACACACAAAGAAGAAGCCATGTGGAGCACACAGCAAGATGGTGGTTGGCTGCAAACCAGGAATAGGATCTTCATCAAGAAGAGAATCTGATGGCACCTTGATCTTGGATTTCTTGGTCTCCAAAACTGTGAGAAATAAATGTCTTTCAAGCCACCCAGTCTTTGGTATTTTGTTATAGGAGCCCTAGGTGACTACGGTAGGTGTGTAGGAACTTTCAGCCCCCTACCATTTCAGACAACCAAGCCATTAGAGATATCCCAGCTGAGAGATTTCTAACTCACAAAATCCTTCAGCGTAATAAAATGCTTGTTGTTTTACACCACTAAGTTTGGTAGGAAGCAACAGATAACCAAATCACAACTTTAAGAACTGGTTCTCTGTATTGATTCTAGATTACCTGGAATTTGTTTTCTGAGCTGATTGGATTTAAAGGTATTAATGATCCTTTTGCCAGTAGTTAAAAAAAAAAAAAATACTGGTAGTCCATAGCATGCATTGGCAAAATAAAAAGCAAGACTTTGGGTGACCAAGCAGCTGCTGCCAGAAATTATTTTAGTGAAATAAACAAGTATAATGGGATTAGTTGGTTGTTTCTTTTTATTTAAGATTTTATTTATTTATTTATTTATTTATTTATTTATTTATTTATTTATTTGTCAGAGAAAGAGAGAGAGCACAAGCAGGGGGAGCGGCAGGTAGATGGAGAAGCAGGCTCTCCACTGAGCAGGGAGCCCGATGTGGGACTTGATCCCAGGACCCTGGGATCATGACCTGAACTGAAGGCAGATGCTTAGCCAACCGAGCAAACCCAGGCTTCCCTAGTTGGTTGTCTCTAAGTGCACTAGGGAAAGTGAGTTAAGAAATGACTGGCTCGGGCCTCTAAGTTCCCACCTTAATGTCTGGGTAAGGGACCAGAAAGTTTCTGTAACTTCCCTAAAAGAAACCTTTATATTCTATGGTCATAGGGCTGAAAATTCTGAAAACCAAGCTCACAATCGAATTCTGTGAGTGGGTTAATTACAGTGCAAACTGAATTATCAAATTTGTATGGTCTCCCATGTTAAAGTTAGAGCAATGATTGGGAAGGAATAGGACCTTGGAAATTGGGATAGGGATATATGGGCAGATTCCAACAAAGGTGGGGACTTTAAGCCCCTAAGTACTGCTGAACCTTCCTTACCAATACAATCAGCCATACTTCCCCTGCGTGAAGGGGTTAGAGTTCCCTTGCCTGAAGAACCTGTAATAGTTTCCCCTGAGGTAGATACCTTCCAGGTAGCTGCTGAACTATCCCTACTATCTGTCACTGCTTCTAGATTTATAACCAGACCCAAGTTCCAACTGCCAAAACAGCTTTCCATGGACTTCTCTATCAGCTTCCATAATTGCTTACGGTCTAATTCTGCATTGTTGTTCTGCTTCTCTGATCAAATCCTAGGTGACACAGTAGGCATAGAGGAGGTAGGCAGAAAAGTTCATATGATGAGAGGGGAAAATAAACAGGGAGAAAAGTAAAATATACCTAGAAATAAGAGGAGAGCATGTTACAGTTATAAACGTGTTGTTAACAAAATCAATCAGCAACTGTTTCTTTCAGATGGACTTACCTTTTTTGGAGGAACGTAGTTTGGATTTATGGCTTTGGCTATTGAGAGTTGTAATATCCGGGCAGAAGGATAAGCGATTTGAAGAGAATCTCTTGTTAAGTAATCATTGTAAGGCCTATATGCAAATGGAACATGAAATATTATAATCATTGGAGGAAAAATAATTGCATTTTTTCATTGCTGTACTCAACCTCTGATCAATGATGTGTAATTTTTCCTACTTCAGAAACTTCTTTTCCCATAATCATTAGTGGTTTTTTCTACCAGATTGGTATTTCCTAAAGTTTTTTTTACTATGATCCACAGTAAGAAGTTATATTGTGATACAGTATATGTAAATCTGTGTGTCTGTGCGTGCATGTATCTGAAACAAAATTATTATGAAACAACGCTTGCCCTGAGCAAGGTATTCTGATTTTTAAAATTTCATTTGATTTTATTAAAAAAAAAACTGGAATCAATTTCATGATCCACTGATGGGTTGAGACTTGCAGTTTAAACTTTACTTCCTACCAAAACCTCATATTAAATTCCTGAGATAAAAAAATTCCAGTCACTACCAAGGACCCCTCTGTGATAGCCAGTCTCCTCTGCAGTGCAGTTTGAGATGGTGCTGCTCATAACTCCCAGCAACTTGGCCAATTTTCATAGGCTGTTCCCCACATATTCCTTTCCTGGTACAAAAACCTATCAACCACAAACCTACAAACCTAATATGAAAAAAGTTTTTCACAAATAAATATATGATTACCCTCTAGGGGTAGTCTGTTAGTTTTTAAAACTGATACACAATTAACATACCATAGAGTTTACCTTTTTAAAGTGTACAATTCAGGGGTTTCTAGCATATTCATTCACAAAGTTATGTAACTACTGTCACTATCTAAATTCAGAATGTTTTCATCATCCCAAAGAGAAACCCCATACTGATTAACAGTCCCTCTCCATTACTTCATTCCCCAACCCTGTGCCCCCAGAACCACTATCTATTTTCTATTTCTATGGATTTGCCTATTTTGGAAATTTCAAATAAATGGAATCATACAAATATGTAGCCTTTTGTAATTGGCTTCCTTCACTTAGCATATTTTCAAGATTCATGTAGCAGTACATCATTCTTTTTTATGGCTGAATAATATTCCATTAAATGATTTACCACATTTTGTTTAACCATTCATCCATGATAAATATTCGAGTTGTTTCCACTTTCTGGCAATTATGAAACGCTGCTATGAATATTCATGTACAAGTTTTTGTGTGAGCATAAACTTTTAGTTCTCTTGGGTACATGCCTAGAAATAGAATGCTGATCATATAACTGTATTCTTAACATTTTGAGGAGCTAGAAAGTGGTTTTCCAATTAAGCTGCACCATTTTGCATTCTAACCAGCAATGTAGGAGGGTTTCAGTTTCTCCACATCCTCACTAATACATATTATTTTCTATTAATTATTATTATTGCCATTCTAGAAGGTTTAAAGTAGTATCTTGTCATTTTAATGTGTATTTCGAAGACGACTAATGATATTTGGCATCTTCGTATGTGTTTCCTGTTCATCTGTATGTCTTCTTTGGAGAAATGTCTATTCAAATAATTTGCCCATTTTCTAAATTGTGTTGACTTTTTTGTATAGTTCTAAAAATTATATATATATATACTCTGAATACTAGTCCCTTATCAGATATATGATTTTCAAATATTTTCTCCCAATTTGTGGGTTATCTTTTTACTTTCTTGATAGTGTCCTTTGATGCACAAAAGTTTTTACTTTTGATGAAATCCAATTTATTTTTTGTCATGTGTTTTTGTTGTCATATCTAAGAAACCATTGCCTAAGTCACAGAGATTGATGTCTGTGTTTTTCTAAGGGTTTTTATAATTTTATCTCTTATATTTATAGGTCTGTGATCCATTTTATTTTTTTTAAGATTTTAAAATTTTTTATCTTATTATTATTATTTTTTAAGTAGGCTCCATGCCCACCTGAGATCAAGACCTGAGCTGAGATCAAGAGTCTGACACTGAACTGACTGAGCTACCCAGGCACCCATAAGATTTTTTTATTTTTCAGTAATCTCCACACTCAATGCAGCACTCAAACTCACAACCCCGAGATAAAGAGTCACATGCTCTTCTGACGGAGCCAGCCTGTGATCCATTTTAAATGAATTTTTCTGTCTGATGTGAAGTAGGGGTTCAATTTCATTTGGATGTCCAATTATCCCAGCACTATTTGTTTAAAAGACTATTTTTCCCCAATTAAATTGTCTTGGTGGGGCTCCTGGGTGGCTCAGTCATTAAGCATCTGCCTTCAGCTCAGGTCATGATCCCAGGGTCCTGGGATCGAGACCCGCATCAGGCTCCCTGCTCAGCGGGAAGCCTGCTTCTCCCCTCTCCCACTCCCCCTGCTTGTGTTCCTTCTCTCACTGTCTCTCTCTGTCAAATAAATAAATAAAATCTTTTAAAAAATTAAATAAATAAATAAATAAATAAATAAATAAATAAATAAATAAATAAATAAATAAATAAATAGTCTTGGCATTCTTGTCAAAAATAAATTGACCATAAATATAAGGATTAACTTCTGGACTCTCAGTTCGGTGCCATAGATTTATATGTCTATTGTTATGCCAGTATCATGCTGTCTTGATTACTGTAGCTTTTAAATAAGTTTTCAGGGGCACCTGGGTGGCTCAGTTGGTTGAGCGTCTGCCTTCGGCTTAGGTCATGATCCCAGGGTCTTGGGGCAGCACCCCACATTGGGCTCCCTGCTCAGTGGGGAGTCTGCTTCTCTCTCTCCCTCTGCCCCCCCACTCATGCTCTCTCTCTCTCTCTCTAATAAATAAATAAAAAATTTTTAAAAATAAATAGGTACGTTTTCAATATGTTTTTCTCAAGATTGTTTCTCGCTATGCTAGGTCCCTTGCTTTTCTATATGAATTTTAGAATTGCCTCGTCAATTTATACCAAAAATTGCAGCTGGTTATCAATAGGGATTGCACTGAATATGTAGATCAATCTGGAGAGTTACCATCATAACAAAATTAACACTTCCAATCCATGAACAGGAAATGTCTTTCCATTTATTTAAGTCTTCGATTTCTTTTAACAATGTTTGTAGTCTTCAGTGTTCATGCCTTGAACTTCTTTTGTTAAGTATTTTGTTCTTTTATTATTTTTAATTTTAGTAAAATACATATAAAATTTACTACCTTAGCCATTCTTTTTTTAAGATTTATTTATTTATTTGAGAGAGAGCACAAGTAGGAGGGGGCAGAGGGAGAGAATCTTCAAACAGACTCCCCACTGAGCATGGAGCCCAATACGGGACTCAATCTTACGACCCATGAGATCATGATCTGAGCCGAAATCAACAGTTGGGTGCTTAACCGACTCAGCCACCAAGACACCCTCATCTTACCCATTCTTAAGTGTATAGTACAGTAGTGTTAAGTGCATTCACATTGTCGTATAACCCATCTGCAGAACTCTTGATCTTGTGAAATTCTACAGCAATTAAACAATTAATTTCCCCCACCCTCTAGTCCCAGCCAGCCATCATACTACTTTTTTCTTTACAAATTGGACTACAGTTGGTACCACATATAAATGCAATTATACAGTATTTGTATTTCTGTGACTGGCTTATTTCATTTAGCTTAATGTCATCATGGTCCATCCATGTTGGAGCATGTGTCAGAATTTTCTTCCTTTTAAGGGCTGAGTAATATGGCATTACATGTATTATAATGTTCTTTTTGGTGCTACTGCAAATAGAATTGTTTTCCTACCTTCATTTTCAGATTGCTCATTGCTAATGGATATACAATTGTTTTTTGTATACTGCTCTTGGATTCTGTGCCTTCCTAATAGACATAGTTTTACTTTTTCCTTTCCAACCTGAATGCCTTTTACTTCTTTTCCTTGCTTAATTGCCCTAACTAGAAATTCCAGTATGATGCTGAACAAAAGTTGGGAGAGCTGACATCCTTGTCTTATTCCTGATCCTAGGGAGAAACCATTCAGTCTTTCACCATTAATTATTATGTTAGCAGTGGGTTTTTTGTAGATGCCCTTTATCAGGCTGAGGAAATTCCCTTCTGTACCTAATTTGTTAAGAATTTTTATTGTGAAAGTGTGTTGAATTTTGTCAAATGATTTTTCTGAGTCTACTGAAGTGACCACATGGTTTTGGTTTTCTTATTCTATTAATTTGATGTATTATATTGATTGTAATCTATTGATTCCAACATACTCTTGTATTTCTGGGATAAATTCAACTTGCTTTGTTAATTTTATTTCATTCTTTCTTCCTTCTGTTCCTCAGATAGCCTCAATTAACCTATCCTTAAGTTTGCTGATTCTTTCTTCTGACTATTCAAGTCTGCTGTTTAGCTCCTCTAGTGAATCAGCTAAAATATATGACACAAAGTCCGAGTTCATATAATACATTTATTGGAGAGCCCTGTGTGTCTTCATTAAACACTTGCTTTTCTCCCCCCCCCCCCCCCACAATTCTAACAAGCTTAGTTATCTGTTCCTAATGCACAGAATTGGGAAAAAAGAGGCTAGTTAAAATTATGAAAGCAGCCAAGTGTCCATCAGTATATGAATGGATAAAGAAGATGTGGTATATGTACACAATGAATATTATTCAGTCATAAAAAAGAATGAAATCTTGCCACTTGCAACAACATGGATAGATCTAGAGAGTATAATGCTAAGTGAAATAAACCAGTCAGAGAAAGACAAATACCATATGACTTCTCCTGTATGTAGAATTTTAGAAACAAAACAAAGGATAAAGTAAAAAAAAAAAAAAACAAAACAAAACGAGAGAGAGGCAAACCAAGAAACGTTTAACTCTATAGAGAACAAACTGATGGTTACCAGAGGGGAGGTGGGTGGGGGATGGGTGAAACAGGCAAAGGGGATTAAGAGTACACTTATCTTGATGAATAATGAGTAATGTATTGAACTGCTGAATCACTATACTGTATACCTGAAACTTATATAACACTGTATACTAACTACACTGGAATTGAAATTAAATTAAATTTTTAAAAAAGAGCCTAGAGACCATTCCCCTGACCAAAAAAAAAAAAAAAAAGACAGGAAAACTATAAGCAAATATTTAATAATCTAAAAGCATAGAAGTCAGAATACTTAGCCTAAAGAAAAACTGTGCTTCATACTTAAACAGCTCCTGGGAGGTTTTCAGTATTGAAGTATAAGAGTTGATGTTCATAATAAAGATTCAAGCCAATGAACAAAGGTTACATGTATGTTTAATAGCTGAGAAGTCTGCTTAGGAAAGCAGGGAAACAACTTAAAAATACAGAAAGTTTTAACATTCAAGGGGGTTTCACCTATATGAAACATCAAACTCAGGTCTCTCAAAAAGTGGTGACATATTACTACTGGGTATTTATCCCAAAGTTTAAGTTGTGATCCGAAGGGGCACCTGCACCCCAATGTTTACAGCAGCAATGTCCACAACAGCCAAACTACGGAAAAAGCCCAGATGTTGTCCATCAGCAGATGAATGGATAAAGATGATGTGGTTTATATACGCAGTGGAATACTACTCAGCCATCAAAAAACTGAAATCTTGCCATTTACAACGGCATGGATGGAACTAGAGGGTATTATGCTGAGCGAAGTAAGTCAATCAGAGAAAGACAATTATCATATGATCTCACTCATATGTGGAATTTAAGAAACAAAACAGAGGATCATAGGGGAAGGGAGGGAAAAATAAAACAAGACGAAATCAGAGAGGGAGACAAACCATAAGAGACTCTTAACTATAGGAAACAAACTGAGGGTTGCTGGAGGGGAGGTGGGTGGGGGGACAGGGTAACTGGGTGATAGGCATTAAGGAGGGCACGTGATAGAATGAGCACTGGGTGTTATATAAGACTGATGAATCACTGACCTCTACCTCTGAAACCAATAACACATTATATGTGAATTAACTGAATTTAAATTTAAAAAATAAATTAATTTTAAAAAGTGGTGACATATTAACAAAGCATTCCTCTGGATTATAAATACAGATATATAAAAAAAAATAAAATAAATGAATATAGTTATATAACTATCAGGTTATATGTACATTTTAACTAAATTAGCAGATTTTGTTGAAGGAGCTGATAAATAAGCAAACAAATTTTATGTGGAGTCTGTGATGGAAAAAGACCGAAGCAGTCCAGTTCAATTTCTCTCTGAATGCAGGAATCTTTTCTAAAATCCATGTAAACTCACCATTCCAGCCTGTGCTTGAATAAGCATTTTCAGGGGTTGGGGTGGAGGCGGCAGTTGACTTTTCCAGATAAACATTTCCAGTACTGGAGAGCTAGTCAGCAAGATTTTCCTACACCTAGCTGATGCCTGCTGCTCTGTAAATTCCTTGTTCTAGACCTAGTTCTAGGATCAACACAAAGTAATTTTACTTTTCCTCCTTTTCCTCGTTCAGACGCTGACCCTTTCAATATCTGAGCACAACTATCACTGCTTCCTTGGTCTTTCTCTAGGCTAAGCATGTCATTTCTCTTAACTATTTTTCACGTAACATAATTTCCAGAGACCTCAACATTTATTTCATTCAGCTCCTTCTGAATAGTCTCAAGTTTATTATCAGTTTCCTAGGGTATAACATCCATAAGTAGACACATACACTTAAGGTGTCTTGACTAAAGTACTATAGTGGTACTATCATCTCCCCGTGATTGTACACGATACATACTCCATTAATCGACTTAACATTTTTCCAACAACCCCCTCACAATCTTAGCTCCCATGTGGAAGTATCACCTTAGCTGTCTTTTAAAGACAAGGAGAAATTCAGCATTCAAAGCAAAAGGAAAAACATTTGAAAAGTCATAGAAACAAAAGAGAAACATCAAGTTCCACAAACTGCAAAAATTTGTTTCATTTGCATATGTTTCATATGTAATGTTGCATATGTAATGTTTCATTTGCATATTTCCTTTGAATTGGCTGACAATGGTAAGTTCAGAGTGAATTTTAGTTTCACCACAATTTGAGTCAAATGTAATTACTGGTGGGGCACCTGGGTGGCTCATTTGGTTAAGTGTCTGACTCTTGATTTCAGCTCAGGTCGTGATCTCAGGGTCGTGAGACTGAGCCCCAAGTCAGGCTCCATGCTGGGCATGGAGCCTGCTTGACATTCTCTCTCCCTCTGCCCTGCCCCAACCTGCTTATGCATGCTGTCTCTCTCTCTCTCAAAAAACAAACAAAAAACCCCACTAATGTAATTACTGGTGATGACCCTCTGATTACCTACAATTGCTGCATACATTTGAGTTTTTACCCTGATCCTTTGAAACACAAGTGAACTTTTAGTTTATGAAACTACATACACTATAATAAGAAAAATATTGTGAGGTTTAATGAAATTAGGATTTATGGAGATTATCGTAGTACTCTACCTCTTTATTAGATATTCTTTCTTGAATCTGTTGGGCAGTGCCAGCTTCTGGATCCTTTTGGAGGGTTGGCTAAACAGTGCAGGAGAAGGGATCTCCCAGATAACAGACTCTCTACCACAGCTGTAGTAATACTGTGCCCTGGAAGTTACAGAAGAGAAAAAAACTGAGTGAAATGAGCATGAATTCCGATAACAGTAATTTCCAATGCTGACCCCCAACTCTAGGCCTAGGAGCAGGTATGATAGTTTACCCCTTTACTGTGAGCTATTCTCCACATGGAGCGACATCAGAAATGGTTGCAGCCATCAAGTTCCAGCTGGCTTTTAATATCCCATTCCAAAACAGATTAATTTTCTGTAATAAATTGCGTTCTTTTATTTATTTTTTTTTTAAAGATTTTTATTTATTTATTTGACAGAGAGAGAGATAGCGAGAGCAGGAACACAAGCAGGGGGAGTGGGAGAGGGAGAAGCAGGCTTCCTGCCGAGCAGGGAGCCCGATGTGGGACTCGATCCCAGGACCCTGGGATCATGACCTGAGCCGAAGGCAGACGCTTAACGACTGAGCCACCAGGCGCCCAAATTGCGTTCTTTTAAATAGACCAAAAAATAATTAAAAGAGAAAATTTGCTTCTTTTAAAACCAAATACCTTCTTAGTCTCTCAGAGACAATCACTAGAGATTGAACAGATAATAAAAGGAAAATAAAAGGCTATATTAACAAGTTTATGCCAACAAATTTTAAAACTTAGGTGAAATACATAAATTCTTTGAAAGACACATACTACCGATGCTCATTCAGAAAGATATAATATGAAGAGCCCTTGTCAAGAGTTTACAAAGCAATTCCATGGTCTTGCTGCCGCAGCACCCATTTTGTTTGACCAAGCAGCCTCCGGGGGCCTTAAACTGACCTTGGCCCCCATCTCATAAGCACATGCCCTAGATACCAGTCCACCAAGTCATAAGTAAATGTACATTCCTGATATGACTTTGCCAATAGCCCTGTGACCAACAGTCTCCTGACTCCCAATGCCTTCCTTTCTTTATGCATCCTTTAGATATAAGTCCCAAGAAGCTTACCAAAACCCTGCTCTTTTATTTGAATTGACCAATCTGGTCTTGGCCTAGGAACCCCAAAGCACTTCACCTGCAGACCCTAATAAGGCATGTGCCCCAGGTCCTGCCTCTCTCTGCACCATGCTTTAACCTCCACGTGTGACTCCTCAAGGCATACCAGGTACTTCTAGGATCTGTGAGTAAAAAACTTCTCTCTTTCAATTTCTGTTATGGTCTATTGTTGAACTGTGACCCCATGCTCCCCTTAACAAGCGTTATTTTGACAAATTCATAACAGCCCTATATCTATTAAATAAATTGAATTTATAGTTAAAAACCTGAACTAGAGGGTATTATGCTAAGTGAAATAAGTCAGTCACAGAAAGGCAAATACCATATCATTTCACCCATGTGTGGAATTTAAGAAACAAAACAAATGAACATAGGGGAAGGGAAGGAAAAATACAATAAAAGGAAAACAGAGAGGGAGGCAAACCGTAAGAAACTTAACTCTAGGAAACAAACTGAGGGTTGCTGGAGGGGAGATGGGGTAACTGGGTGATGGGCATTAAGGAGGGCACGTGATGTAATGAGCACTGGGTGTTATATGTAACTGATGAATCACTAAGTTCTACCTCTGAAACTAACAATACAGTATAAATATATACATAAAATTGAATTTAAATAAAAAATTTCTTAAAAATCTTCCCACCAAAAAACTCCAGACCCAAAATGACTTCATTGTGGATTCTATGAAATACATAAACAAGAAATGCCAATTCTATATATTTTCCAATTGATTCTGTGAGGACAGAATTACCAAAAACAAGTAAAGACATTACAAGAAACAAAGACATTACCACAAAGACACTATAAGAAAAATCCAGACTAATACACCTCATAAGCACAGATGCAAAAAGTTTAGTTTTATTGGAACACAGGCATGCTCAGTTTTTATAACGTCTGTGGCTGCTTCCTGCTACAATAGTGGAGTTGGGTAGTTGCAATGGAGACTTTGTAGTCAACTTTACTATCTACCCACTTCCTGAAAAAGTTTGCTGACTTTTGACTAAAGTGTATATCGAAAAGAGATAGAGAAATGGCTACCTCAATTATCTTGGAAACCAAACTTCAGATAAATAATGGTATCTTCACCTTTTTCCTGTTACTTTAACCTCCCTCACTACTTGTGCTCATCCCCTCCCCGCTCCACAGTCTTTCCTCAAAGAACCAACCAGCAGAAAGTCTAGTCATTCAACAAACATGCACTAAAAGCAAATTGGCAATGGGTATCAAAAGTCTTAACGATATTCTTACCTCTACATGTAATAATTAACTCATGATAATTAAGCCCGTGGTGGTATACAAAATCCACAAGAAGTTGCATGCATGAATAGTTCATGCACAACAGTGTTATAGATGGTACATATCCCAGCATGATACTGCCACTTTATTAAAAACTCAAGGGGCACCTGGGTGACTGGGGCTTGAGTGGCCAACTCTTGATTTTGGCTCCAGTCATGATCTCGGGCCATGGGATCGAGCCCCACGTGGGGCTCTGTGCTCAGCATGAGTCTACCTGAGATTCTCTCTCTCCCTCTCCCTCTCCCCTTCCCCCCACTTGCTCTCTCTCTCTCTAATAAATAAATAAAATCTTAAAAAAAAAAAACCCTCAAAATCCTAGTAAGCCAAAACATAAGATATAATACAAGTTAGCAATAGCTAAATATTAGTCTTGTGCTAGAAAAGTTTTACTGTAGCATCAGATGAGGAAATATATAGAATCTTTAATCCTCAACAATTTTTTTACTACAGATTGGACAATTTATGGCTTTCAGATAAAAGGGCTGGGTTCTGTGTTCATTTTCCCTAGGGACTCCTGATAAAGTAACCTGATAACACACAAACACTAACCTGTTAGGTACATATCGGTGGGAGACTTCTTTGGGATGGGCAAGGTCCTCCAGTCTTTTGGTCAGCTGAGCTTTCAAAGCAATCCGGGCAATAGGGCAAATAGGATCTTGATTCCCCCAAAACAGTTTTCTGTTAAAAAGCAGAAAAATCAAATGGTAAGGAATTCACTACTAATGGACATCTTAGAAATGGCTCTTGATGGGTTCCACACTGATTTTCCTTCACTTCCAGAACTATCTCTATTACAGAATTTAACAATTTCCAGTCATCAGAAACAGATCAACTACTTACGCAGTTAAAATAAAAGAAGATTCTTTCACCTACTGTCCTAAAACATGGTGACCAAAAATGAACCTGTTTTCTGAAAGAGTTCTGTTTCTGCCATTGTATAATTAACACTGTAATTTATAATCAGATCAACGTAAAATGGGCATGCCATCTACCCAACACTGAGTTCCCGCTATGCGTGAAGCCCTATACCAGGAGGTCAGAAAATAAAACAGTATCAGGGTAATATTAGTAGCTCCCATTTGTGAAATACTGTGGGCTAGGCAGTGGGCTAAGTGTTCACTGGCATCAGATCTTTTAGTCTGTACAATAGGCATGATTCCTGAGCAGAGGGTGAAGAGAAAAGGAGAATCAGTAAGGGATTCACCTGAAAGGCTTCATGGAAGAAAGTGAAAGGCACAGACTGCCAGAAATGAGGCACATTCCATGTTGGGGTAACCGTGAGAAATGGGAATAATCAAGTATGGGTCAAGGCATGTTTGGTCAGGGACATGTTGGTAAATAATTAACTAACATTGCTACAATGGGGAGGGAAGGCAGAAGGAGTCAAAAGAAAGTACCTCGGTAACCTAACTTTGCATATAACTGAAATTGCCACTTAATTGAGCTTAACTATTTAAAAGGCCCTGTTTTTTTTTAACCTTATCTATATTTTTTTATACAGTGTTTATTTCTCTACTTTGCAAGCATCTAATCTACTATTAGAAATGTTAATGAACGAATTAATATTCCCATCCCCTACATTCTGCTGATTCCATTTCCTAAATACGGCTTAAATCTGTCCATTTCTCCTTATCCCTGTTGCTACTTTCCTTGTCCAGATCCCATCACCCCTATCACTGCCAGAGTGATCTTTCTAAACCCCAATCTGATCAAGACACCCCCTTGGCTTTACACTGGACTCCCAACTCCTTACTGTGGCTTACAAGGTCCTCCACAATTTTGACAAAGAGCACCTGCCACTCCAGCCTATAAGTTCATCCAAAGGGAAGGAGCATGACTTAATCTTTTGGAGATTTCCCCCTAGGATAATTTAGTGCTGTACATGACAGGTGTTCCATCACAGTCTGATGAATGGAAGAATGGTGAAAACTGGGGACTCACCTGAGGATGATGTAAAACAGAGTAGAGAGGAGAGAATGACCACAGGGAGAAGAGGCTACAGCAGAAATCAGGGCCTCAGGTGATGAAGGCCAGAGTGGGAGTGACATTGGGGAAGAGAGTAACTCTGTTTCCAAAAGAGAAGACTGGTGGATAGAGGTAAAAGCATCATGGAATGGGAGAGGAAGATTTCAAGACAAGATGCATCGAATATATCAGAAAGCATCAAATACAACTTAGACATCAAGAATGGAAACTAAAACAAAACAAAAGACAATGGTACTTGGCCAGGAAAATATCAGTGGTAATAGAAAAAGTGAAGAGCATCTAAGGGATAAATATCAAAGCTCTGATGGAGAAAGGCTAAGGGAATCAGGGATTAGGAAGCAGAGGTGACATACATACAGTTGACCCTTGAACAATGAAGGGTTAGGGGCACTGACCCCATACAGTTGAAAATCTGCATATAACTTCTGACCCCCGCAAAACTTAACTACTAATAACCTACTGTTGACCAGAAGCCTTACTGATAACATAAACAGCCAATGAACACATATTTTGTTTATGTATTCTATGCAGTATTCTTATCATAAAATAACCTAGAGCAAAAAAATGTTATAAAGAAAATCATAAGGAAGAGAAAATACTTTTAATTACTGTACTGTATTTATTGAAAAAAAATATCTGGGTATAAGTGGACCTGTGCAGTTCAACCCTGTGTTGTTCAATGTTCAACTGTGTATATTGGTTTTGTATTCATTGCTTCAAATTCAAAGCAAAAGGTACTTTAGACATGGCAATTATGTCAGTACATAATATATGGTCCTGATGATGATTTCTAGGTACTGAACCTTCATGAGATCATTATCTGCTTGAAAATTTTGTCCACAGGGCACCTGGGTGGCTCAGTTGGTTAAGTGTCTGCCTTCAGCTCAGGTATGATCCCAGGGTCCTGGGATGGAGCTCCACATCAGGCTCTCTTCTCAGTGGGCAGTCTGCTTCTCCCTCTACCCCTCCCCCTGCTCATGATCTCTTTCTCTTTCATGCTCTCTCTCTCTCAGATAAATATTTTTTTAAAAAAGAAAATTTTGGCCATAAAAACTAGAAAACACATAGTATGAAGGAAAAGTATTGAGAATTATGTAAAAGCAGGAGAGCCAGCCCAAAGTAAGCTAGAAGGAAAGGATCAGTGGGCTGAGAAAGAGCAGACTATACAGTTGAGAAAAATATGGATGTAATGTTCATCAGAAAGTGGGGAGACTAACTGACATGTCAAAGCAACATATTATGCAGATGACTCTTCACTCTACTCTGACAGCATTTAAAAATCACCTATGTTTAGCTGTTACATAGCTAACAATATCAGGGAAATAAATGTTTAATCTTTTACAGTCCATAATGAGGACTTGACCTCAGAGCATAGGGTTCTTATCCATATTGTACCTGTTTGATGGATCCATGAGATATAACAATATCTGACACAATCACACCCCTAGAATTCTAGAATAAGGGACCTAGAAGGGTTCTTGAGAGTACTGTGTTCAGTCATCCTTTTCTGAACAGCTAAATCTCTAGTCTTACATTATTTCCAGAGTCAGAAAACACAAAACAGCTTTCATTAGTCTATCTCCAGAGTGTTATTGTTCTGAAATTCTTACACCCTCTCCTATTATAACAAGTATTTATTTAGCTTTCATCTCTATAAATTGCTCTATGTACTTGAAGATTTATGAGACAGTCTTTAATCTTTCTTTGTCAGTCTGGCCAACCACAGATTATTTGAATGTATCCTCATAGTTCCATTTTTCTTTTTTTTAAAGATTTTATTTATTCATTTTAGGGACAGCACACACACGTGTGCAAGCAGGGAGGGGCAGAGGTGTGGGAGAGGGAGAAAGAATCTGAAGCAGACTCCGCACTAAGTACAGAGCCCTACCCAGGGCTCAATCCCACAACCACCAGATCATGACCTGAGCCAAAACCAAGAGTCAGACACTCAACCAACTGCGCCACCCAGGCACCCCACCATTTTTCTTTTAATAATTTTCTTCCTTGGTTTTTGAGGCCCTCTCTTTCCTGGTTCTCTCTCCCACTCACACTCTCTTTCTCTCCCCCCCTTCCTTCCCCCACCTCTTTTCCAGTTTTATTGAGAAATAATTGGCATACATCACTGTATAAGATTAAGGCACACAGCATGATGGTTTGATTTACATATATTGTGAAATGATTACCACAACAGGTTCAGCTAACATCTGTCTTCTTCTAATTCTCGCTTGCCTACTCCTTCTCAATTTCCTTAGGAAGTGTCTCTTTTGCAACGTAAACAATGGCATGTGCCCCAAGGTTCCCTCTTCCTATTTTTTAAAAAATTTTTAAAAATTAAAAGTGTGCCTGGGTGGCTCAGTGGGTTAAGTGTCTGATTCTTGACTTTGGCTTAGGTCATGATCTCATGGTCATGGGATAGAGCCCTGCGCTGGGCTCCACACTCGGTGGGGAGTCTGCTTGGGATTCTCTCTCTCCCTCTCCCTTGGCCCCTCCCTCCCATGCTCTCTTTCTCTTTAAAATAAATTAACAACAAATCATAAAAAAAAAAAAGTATCACTAAATACTGATGTTTCCAAAATAGTATCTCCAAGAATTCTCAAGCATTCTCCTGAGTGTTAAATATTTATTTCCAAATGCTTACTGGATGTCTCAAAAGCATGCCACATGACAAACCTGTACCTTCCTCCCAAACCTGTCCCCCTCTTATATTTCCTTTTGCAGTTACAATAATGTTTTCCACTTTATTTCTAAAAACAGAAACCTAGAAATCATATTTGATTCCTCCTCTCCTTCAGGTTCTTCATTTGTCACTAAGTCCTATCCATCTCTATCTTGACTCTAACCTTTCTTGTAACCCTTAAAGCCACTCTCTTAGGACAAACCCTCATTATTTCTCTCCTGTATTATCGTAATAGCCCCAAATCAATCTTCCTGACTCTAATGCTCTATGCTATCAAAGGGACCATGCCTTTCTAAAATAGCCATTGTGATATAATGTAGGTAAATGGGCTTTGTGTGCAATGAACATAGATTCAAATCCCAGTTTTGGTACCTGCAATTAACTTTTTTGAGCTCAATTGCCTAATCAAATCACTCCTTCAAACTTTCTAATGGTTTCAAATAGGAGTAGGTTGGAGAGGAGTGTTCTAAGATTACTGACAGTTCTAGCGATTTTCACTAACACATCTCTTATCAATGCATACCTCTCATCAATGTATATGTGTATGTACCCATCCTTGAAAAAGAGAGAACTTAAAGCATATTATATTATTTATGTTTAAAAACAAGCCTTTTAAAAAATAAATTTTTAGGTTATAGCAAAGTTGCAGGATATAACTTAATATTCAAGTTCTACTGATTTCTTATACACCAGCAATGAACAATGGGAATTTGAAATTAAAAACAGAACACTATTTACATTAGCACCAAAAAAATGTAAATACATAGGTGTAAATCTAACAACATAAGTATAAGATCTCTATTAAAAAAAACTACAAAACTCTGGTGAAAGAAATCAAGGTAGAACTAAATAAATGGAGAGACAGTCCATGTTCATAGATACAAAGAGCCAATAATTGTTATGATGTCAGTTCTTTCCAACTTGATCTACATATCCAGTGCAATCTCAATCAAAATCCCAACAAGTTACTTTGTGGATATTCATTCACAAACTGATTCTAAAATTTGTGTGGAGAGGCAAAAGATCCAGAATAGACAACACAATATTGAAAAAGAAGAACAAAATCAGAGGACTGCCACTAGCTGGCTTCAAGACTTACTGTAACACTATAGTAATCAGACAGTAGTATTAGTGAAAGAATAGACCAATAGATCAATGGGAAAATATAGATCCTAGAAATCATCCACACAAATACAGTCAGCTGATCTTTGACAAAGGATTGAAGGTTATCCAACAGAGAAAGGATAGTCTTTTCAACAAATGGTGTCAGAAAACTGGACACCCACATGCAAAAAAGTACATCTAGAGACACCTTTCACAAAAATTAACTTGAAATGTATCATAGACCTAAATGTAAAATACAAAACTATAAAACTTCTAGAAAGTAACGTAAGAGAAAATCTAGGTGACCTTAGATTTAGCAATTCATTTTTAAATATGACCAAAGCATGATCCATGAAAGAGAAAAATTGATAAGTTGAACCTCATTCAGATTAAAAACTTTTGCTCTGCAAAAGACACTGCTAAGAGAATGAAAAGATGAGCCACCGACTAGGAAAAAATACTTGCAAGACATATATTTGATGTTTGACAATCTTACAATATTGTAACCTGCAATTCAGGTTACAATACCAATAACATAGATGGGGGGCTTATAAACAACAGAAATTTCTCACAATTCTAGGAGTTTGGAAGTCCAAGATCAAAGCATCAGCAGATTCAGTGCCTGGTGAGGACCTGCTCTCTGGTTCCTAGTCAGGCATCTTCTTCTGTGTTCCCAAATTGCTGAAGGAGCAAGGGAGTTCTCTGAGGTCTCTTTCTTTTTTTTTTTTTTTTTAATATATATTTTTAAAGATTTTATTTATTTATTTGAGACAGAATGAGAGAGAGAGAGAGCACATGAGAGGGGGGAGGGTCAGAGGGAGAAGCAGGCTCCCTGCTGAGCAGGGAGCCCGATGCGAGACTCGATCCAGGGACTCCAGGATCATGACCTGAGCCGAAGGCAGCCGCTCAACCAACTGAGCCACCCAGGCGCCCCTAAGGTCTCTTTCATAAGGACATTAATCCCATTCACGGGTGCTCCATCCTCATGATTTAATACCTCCCAAAGGCCTTACCTCCTAATACCATCACATTGGGGATTAGGTTTTCAATTTATAAATTTTAGGGGAACATAAACATTCAGTCTATAGCATCTGATAAAAGATTGGTATTCAAAATATACAAAGAACACTTACATTTCAACAATAAGAAAACAAACACCCAATTAAAAAGTGAACAAAAGTGTTGAACACACACTTCACCAAAGAAAATATGCAGATGGTAAATCAGCATATGAAATATGCTCAGCATCAGGTCATTAGAGAATTACAAATTAAAACAATGAGAGAGATACCACTATACACCTTTAGAATGGCTAAAATACAAAACACCAAATGCTGGTGGGGATGTAGAACAACAGGAACTATTTTATCCATTGATGGTGGGATTGCTAGACATTTCAGAAGATGGTTAGCAATTTCTTACAAAGCTAAACATATTCTTACCATATAATCCAGAAATTGCATTCCTAGGTGTTTACCCAAATGAATTAAAAACTTTTATCTACATGAATACCTGCGCATCAATGTTTATAGCATCTTTATTCATAATTGCTAAAAATCGGAAGCAAACAATATATCCTTCAATAGATGACTGGATACGCAAACTATGGTACAACCAGGCAATGGAATATTTGTCAGTGCTAAAAAGAAATGAGCTACCAAGCAATGAAAAGACATGGAAGAACCTTAAATGTATATTACTAAGTGAAAGAAACCAATATAAAAAGGTTATATACTGTATCATTTTAACTATATGACATTCTTGAAAAGGCAAAACTATAGATATAGTAAAAAGATTGGTGGTTGCCAGGGTTTTGGAGAAGGGAGCACAGAGGGAAAAGGATGAATAGGTAGAGCACAGGTAATTTTTAGGGCAAGGAAACTATTTTACATAATACTGTAATGGTGAGGGCGCCTGGGTGGCTCAGTTGATTAAGCGTCCACCTTCGGCTCAGGTCATGATCCCAGGGTCCTGGGATCGAGTCCCGCATTGGGCTCTCTGCTCATCGGGGAGTCTGCTTCTCCCTCTGAGCCCTCCGCCCCCATGCTCTCTCTCTGTAATAAATAAATAAAATCTTTAAAATACATATTGTAATGGTGAATACATGACATGCATCTATCAAAATCTATAGAAGTGTACAACACAAAAAGTGAACCCTAATGTAAACTACAGACTTTAGTGAATAATGGGTCAATATTTCTTCATCAATTATAATAAATGTACCACACAAACACAAGATGTTAATAATGGGAGAAACAAGAGGAGTGGTAGTAATACAGAAACTCTGTACTTCTGGCCAATTTTTCTGTAAACCTAAAACTGCTTTACAAATAAAGTGTATTATTATTTTTTTTAAGCAATAGGATATCAGAAAAAAGGGACAAAATTAAGGCTTCACTCAGGAGCCAAAGAAGAAAAGGTGTGGTGAAGGATGGGAGGTCAGTGGGTCCTACTGGCTGGAGACCCAGAGAACAGGTTTGCTCTAAGCAGAGGCTTACAGACAGTAAGTTAGCAGCAGCAAAGGTGAACCCGAAGGATGGACACAAGAGCTTCGAAGTGGTTTTCAAACCCGTCTGCTTATTAGAATCATCTGGGGGCTTCTAACACTCCCAAAGCCTAGGCTGGACTCTAGACCAAGTAAATCAGGATTTCTGGGGATGGGCCCAGGTATCAGTGTTTTAATAGGTGCCCAGGTGATTCCATTTACAGATTAATTTGAAAACTACTGACTTAGGATTAGCCTTTCATGTGTTGACTTAACTGAGGGGACAATATTGGTTCGGTGGATTCAGTTGACCACAGAGTGGATAAACCTGGGATGCAAGGTCAGTGGGCAAGTAAGAATCTTACTTACCTATTTAATTTAAGTTAACACAATCCTCACAAACAAGACTGTAATGTTGCCTTACCTATCTGGGGTTCCCCATTGTCTTTTAGGCCTAGAAAGGTCTTGGATTCTCTTCCTAGAAAAAAAACTAACAAATACCAACTGATTAATTCAGAGAGAATGCTTAGCCATATTTAAACATGGTTATATTAGATAACTCCTACTCAAACAAATCCCATCTTGAGGGGAAAAACCCAAAGTCCTACTTGATGTGATTTGAAGAGTACTGAAAGCTCACAGTATTCAAAAATATTGTGGACCCAAAATTCTCACTCCTAAAGTCATGAATAATATAGAACACAGTGAAACAAAGACAATAAATATGCAATAAAACTAAGAGCTTATTATCTCCAGAAGACCCCAGATAAAATGCACACTTCATGGGAAAAATTCTCAATTCTCATATTAAGTTAATTTGTAAATGGCCTGATGGCACTACTCTGAAGAGATGCATAAATTTCAGACAGAGTATTTGGCTTTGAGAAAGCTATGAAATAGGCAAAATATGCTTTGGGTACTACTCAACCCCCTTTCTTCCCTATTCTGCTCCTTTGAACCTTCCCTGATTGTTCTGAACCTACCTAAAGCAGACACAGTTTGTGCTCACCAGGTATCCATGTGTTCCTCCACATTGCCAAGCCTCCCTTCAGTTGTTTAATTTTTAATTTTTACTTATTTATTTATTTAGAAAGGGAGGGGGGAGAAGCAGGGGGAGAGGGAGAGAGAGAATCTAAGCAGGCTCCACGCCCAGTGTGGAGCCCTACATGGGGCTCAGTCTCATGACCTTGGGATCATGACCTGAGATGAAATCAAGAGTCAGAAGCTTAACCGACTGAGCCACCCAGGCGCCCCTCCCTTGTTTAGAGCCATGTGAACAGTTATGTCTAACTTCAGTAGAAGTGTTGAGTATTAATTCCAGGGCAAGCTAAGAGCTTAAGAGCTAGTGTGCCTCCTCCATTTCCCTCCTCCCCTGTTGTAGCAACTCTGGAAGCCACATATTCCAGATGGCATGGCTAAAAGACAGAAGAGGCCAGCCATCTCACGCTGGACTGTGACATGGGGGAGAAATAAACTTCTATTGCATTAGGTCATTGAGAGTTTTGGATCTTATTTGTTACTGCAGCATTGCTTATCCTCTGCAGATTAATACACCACGTATGTTACTGCAGCTCATATGGTAGTTATTTATGTACTTGCTTGGAGTTTGAAGGGCCCAATAAATAACAACCCTTTTTTGCCCACAATTAGGAACTAACTGAAAAATAGGTACAGGAGTCAGATAAATAGAATAAAATACTTTCTCTATTATTGATGAAATGGTGTCGAAGAGAGTAGTGTGGATTCCTGATATCCCTGAATTGAACTTGTCCCCCCAAACTGCAAGCCTCCCCCTGCAGGGGCTAAGTTTCCTATGTGACAGAAAGCCTATGACAAAGATCATTCACCATAGACAGGAAGGTCCCAAAGAAATAGGACCCAGGAGGGGCCAGTTCTCTCTCCCAACTCCATCAAACAGAAGTCATTCCCACCCCCCTGGAGAGTCTAATAAAGGAATAATTAAGGGAAGAGGTCAGGAAAATTACTCGAGGTAAGTGCTTTTATATAAAAAAGGAAAAGCATTCTCCCTAAAACTCACCTGAACAATAGAATTTTTTTTCCAGTTTCAAGTTTTTATTTAAATTCTAGTTAGTTAACATACAGTGTAATATCAGTTTCAGGTGTAGAATTCAGTGACTTATCACCTACATACAACACCCAGTGCTCATCACAACCAGTGCCCTCCTTAATACCCATCATCCATTTAGCCCATCCTCTACCCACCTCCCCTCCAACAATCCTTAGTTTGTTCTCTATAGTTAAGAGTCTGCTTTAAGGTTTGCCTCTTTTTTCCATGTGCATTTGTTTTAATTCCCCGTATGAGTGAAATCATATGGTATTTGTCTTTCTCTGACTTATTTTGCTTAGCACAATAATCTCTAGCTCCATCCACATCATTGCAAATGGCAATATTTCATACTTTTTATATTTTGCAAGTTTCACTATATGTCTTGGTGGTGACCTGTTTTTGTTGATTTTGAGGGGAGTTCTCTGTGTCTCTTGGACTTGAGTGCCTGTTTCCTTCCCCAGATTAGGGAAGTTATGTTCAAATACATATGTTCAAATAAAACTTCTGCCCCTTTTTCCCACTCTTCTTCTGGGACTCCTAGGATATGGGTATTATTGCACTTTGTAGAATTGCGGAATTCCCTAAGTCTATATTCATGATCTAAGAGTTTTCTTTCCTTCTTTTCAGCTTCATTTTCCATAATTTTATCTTCTATATCACCTATTGGATCCTCTGCTTTTTCCATCCGTGTTGTGATTACATCCCGTCGGTTTTGCATCTTAGTTATAGCATTTTTTATTTCACCTTACTAGTTTTTAGGTCTTTTATCTCTGCAGCCAGGGTTTCTCTGGTGTCTTTTATGCTTCTTGCAAGCCCAGCTAGGATTCTTACACTGTTTTCCTAAATTCTTGTTCAGGTATATTTCTTATATCTGTTTTGGGCAAATCCCTGGCTGTGATTTCTTCTTGTCTTTTTGGGGGCAGAATTCCTCTGTCTTGTCATTTTGTCTAAGTTTCTGTCTTTTGCATGTTATGGAAGATGGCATCTTCCCATCCTCTCATCCCCAGGTAAGGGGAACTCGAGCCATGGCTGTTCAGGAGGCCCTCACAGAAAAGTAAATAATCTCCCCTCCTGTGTCCCAGAGGTTCCCGTCAGACCCCTACCCTCAACCTGTCTGTGCCTGGGCTGCTGGCATGCCCAGCACCACAGTTCTGTGTTTTACCTCTGGCCTGTGGCTGGGATTCAAAACTCCAAATCTTAAAGGACCCAGCAAGGCACGGACCTGCTCCCCTCCCCGAGAGAAGAGGCTCGCAGCGCACACCTGCACCTGGCGCCACTCTGTCCCAGGGAAGCAGGTGCACAGCCACACAGGTGTCTGGAGTGTATGGTGAAGCACAGGGAAAAGCTGAGGCCAGGTTATCTGCCCTCAGTGAAGCACAGGGAAAAGCTGAGGCCAGGTTATCTGCCCTCAGTGGCACCCAGCGGGTGTTTTGTCTTTGCTGAGAGAATACACCCTCTTCCAAATGTACTCCAGGAAGGGGAACATTCTCTCTCAGTGTGACTCAGGGGATCCCCACCCCATGATGTCTTGTGCAAGCCCCACCTGCTGCTCTCTCTTCCCCTCTCTCTCTGTCTTCTCTCTGAGAAAAGGGTTCCCTTCCCTCTGTGGCACTGTGGCTTTTCTCTCCCCAGTTCACGTCTCCAAATCTCGCATCTGCCACCTTCTCTCCCTCTAATTGTGCAGATTGTTTTCTTAATCCTTAGATCAATTTCCTAGTTGTTCAAAAATATGTTGATCTAGGGGCGCCTGGGTGGCTCAGTCGGTTAAGCGACTGCCTTCGGCTCGGGTCATGATCTCAGGGTCCTGGGATCAAGCCCCGCATCCAGCTCCCTGCTCAGCGGGAAGCCTGCTTCTCCCTCTCCTACTCCCCCTGCTTGTGTTCCCTCTCTTGCTGTCTCTCCCTCTCTGTCAAATAAATAAAATCTTAAAAAAAATATATGCTAATCTAGCTGTGTTCAAGGGATGAGTTCAAGGGATGAGGTCCCCCCATTACTCCTTCATATTAACTCTCCTCCCAAGATTTCATTCTTTTTGATGGCTGAGTAATATTCCATTATTCCACATCTTCTTTATCCATTCATCAGTCAATGGACATTTGGGTTCTCTCCATAGTTTGGCTATTGTTGATAATGCTGCAGTAAACATCAAGGGGCATGTATCCCTTTGAATCAGCATTTTTGTGTCCTTTGGGTAAATACCCAGTAGTGCAGTTGCTGGATCATAGGGTAGTTCTATTTTTAACTTTTTGAGGAACCTCTAAACTGTTCTCCAGAGTGGCAAGACCAGTTTGCATTCCCACCAACAGTGTAGGAGGGATCCCCTTTATCTGCATCCTTGCCAACATCTGTTGTTTCTCTGTTGTTGATTTTAGCCATTCTGACAGGTATGAGGTGATATCTACATTGTAGTTTTGATTTGTATTTCCCTAATGATGAGTGATGCTGAGCATCTTTTCATGTGTCTGTTAGCCATCTGGATGTCTTCTTTGGAAAAATGTCTACGTTTTCTGTCCATTTTTAAACTGGGTTATTTGTTTTGGGGTGTTGAGTTTGATAAGTTCCTTATAGATTTTAGATACTAACCCTTTATCAGATATGTCATTTGTAAATATTTTCTCCCATTCTAAAAGTGGCTGCCTTTTAGTTTTGTTGTTTCCTTTGCTGTGCAGAAGCTTTTTCTCTTCATGAAGTCCCAATAGCTTATTTTTCCTTTTGTTTCCCTTCCCTCAGGAGATATATTTAGTAAGAAGTTGCTACAGCCAATGTCAAAGAGGTTACTACCTGTGCTCTCCTCTACGATTTTGAGGGTTTCCTGTCTTACATTTAGATCTTTCATCCATTTTGAATTTATTTTTGAGTATGGTGTAAAGAAAGTGGTCCAGTTTCATTCTTCTACATGTTGCTGTCCTGTTTTCCCAACACCATTTATTGAAGAGACTGTCCTTTTTTTCCACTGGATATTCTTACCTGCTTTGTTGAAAATTAGTTGAGCATATAGTTGTGGGTCCATTTCTGGGTTCTCTATTCTGTTCCACTGATTTATGTGTCTGTTTTTGTGCTAGTACCATACTGTCTTGATCACTACAGCTTTGTAATAAATATAACTTGAAGTCTGGAATTGTGGTGCCTCCAGCTTTGCTTTTGTTTTTCAAGATTTCTTTGGCTATTTGGAGGCTTTTGTGGTTCCATACATATTTTAGAATTGTTTGTTCTAGCTCTAGGAAAAATGCTGGTGGTATTTTGATAGGGATTGCATTAAATGTGTAGATTGCTTTGGGTGATACAGACATTTTAACAATATTTGTTCTTCCAATCAATGAGCATGAAATGTTTTTCCATTTCTTTGAGTCATCTTCAATTTCTTTCATGAGTGTTTTATAGTTTTCAGAGTACAGATCTTTAACCTATTTGGTTAGGTTTAT